TTAAGTGTGCATAAATGAAAGTGACCTTTGGAAATCCATAACTTGAGGACAAATTATGGACTCCATTAAAACACATAAATGATCAAGAATTATCAATAAACAATTTAGCAAATAATTCCTATGATCTAACAATAATTCATAAGAACATGAACATCATATCAAAAATTCCAAGAACATATGAACACATATCATCATGCAATTTTGATATAAGCCATTGTAAATGGATTAGCATAAACATTACACCATCTAAAACAGGTTTTATAACACCAAAACAATTTAGGGTAATGTTTCTAGTCCATTTCCAGCAGCAAAACTCGAAAATCTGCATTCTGAGGCTTCTACTCATCGAGTGCACGAACCTACTCGACGAGTAGGATGAATTTACTCATGGACTCGGCGAGTCCCCCCATGGACTCGGCGAGTTCATGCTGCAGAATGCAGAAAACTTGAGTTTTTCAACAAGTTTGCATCAAGTATCAAACAAACAAGCCTAGGCTCTGATACCACTGTTGGGTTTTGAGCAAACTAACACTCCTAAGGTGTTCATGCAACCCTAGAAACCTTGGATCTATGTTTGTCTAAAATACATGCAAAATAATTTTCCAAGGTTCATAACCTATCTAGCATACATGGGGTACTTTTAAACATAAAAGATACTAGAAGAATTACATACCTTTGTTAGTGAGTTGATTCCTTGGAAGTTTGAGAGCCAAGCACCAATAATGTGAATGCCTCAAATGGAAATCATAAATCACCACAAACTTGGAAAACTTATGAGAGAGTATCCAATAACTCTAGAAATTCGGCCACTCTTATGCACACACACATAGTGCTTTTTCAAGCACTATAAGCCTCTTTATATAGTGTAGATGATTAGGGTTATGAACCATGCAAACCTTAATAACCCATGTCTTTTCCTATTCCAAGGATCCATGGGTTAAAAGCTCCATGGATCATCCATAGACTCCCATTTAAGCTTAGCTCATTCCCTAATGAGTGTTAGCCTACACTATATAAGTACAATAGCCCATTATTTAATTAGTCACCTTCTGATCACTAAATTAATTCATAATTAATTTAAGATCAATACTAATTAAATAATACAATTTCATATTAATATATTATAACTTATAACATATTAGTAGGCCGTAAATATACTCTTCTCATAATGTTATCCATATAAATAGTTCGGGTGAAGTGCAACCCAAATGGACCATGCCGGGTCGGGTCAAGTATATACCAAATAAGTTATGGACTTAGACACCTTATCCAACATTTCTTTTGTGTTCCTTCAACCAAATAAGAATATAAATCATCTCAAAAACGTTTCTCTATTTTAGCCCTGGTACTTCTCCTTGGTTCCTCCACAATAGGAGGTGGTGGGAGTATTTCTCGAGAAGTACTTGTAGGTGTTGTATGACTAGAGTTTTCTTCATCCCTAGAAAACTTGTCCTTAAAAAATTCCACATCTCTGGATTCCACAACAACACCCGAATCAATATACAATAACCGGTAAGCCTTGCTATTTTGACCATATCCAATGAATATACTCTTATTAGCTCGTGCTCCCAATTTGGTTCGCTTAGGATCGGGAGTCTGATAATAAGCAACACACCCCCACACTTTCAAATAGTCTAGGTTAGGCTTTCTACCTTTCCACAACTCATAAGGGCTTGTAGGAATCACACGACTAGTGATCCTATTATGAACATAGCAAGCAGTCAATAGTGCTTCCCCCCCACAGATTTTTTGGTTGATCCGATTGGTTCAACATACAGTTGACTATCTCACAAAGGGTTCGGTTCTTTCTTTCAGCCAAACCATTCTGTTGGGGAGTGTATGGTGAAGTTCTCTCATGTTTGATTCTATTCTCTTCGCGGAATGTGTCAAACTCTTGGTTGAAATATTCTCCGCCTCTGTCCGAGCGAAGAATTTTGATGTGTCTTTCAAGTTGATTTTCGACCTCAGCCTTATATCATTTAAATGCATCAAAAGCTTCATCTTTTGATCTCAGCAAATAAACATGTAGATATCGACTGGAGTCATCACAAAATGTGATGAAATACCTTATTCCTCATCGAGTAAGGATTCCATTTAACTCACATATATCAGAATGAATCAACTCAAGTAATGACGTGTTTCTCTTAACTGATGGAAATGGTTTCTTAGTGAACTTTGATTTCACACATGTTTCACATTTTTCAAAATCTTTTGTGTCATATTTTAACATTCCTTTAGTTTGCATTTTTTTCAATATTTTTAACATTAGTGTGAGCTAAACGTTTATGCCATAAAGAAATTGAACAAACAAAATAACCAGAAAAGTTCACTTCATTCACATTAGCAACCAATCCACAAATTACATCATTACCAACACTTGACACACTAGCAACACTAGAACTACCACTTTCAACACTAGGACCACTTATATTACCCTCATCACTAAGGCACAAGCGATACATCCCCGAACAATTGTTCGCCCTCCCAACATATTTTCGGCCTTTAGTGATCGCAATCTTGCCTTTCTCAAGCACCATCTTGAACCCACCCTAGTCAGACTTGTCCGCAGAAACCAACCCCTTCGAGATAGTAGGAACATGAAGAACGTCTCGAAGGGTTACTCATTCACCTCGTGTGAACTTCAACCGAACATCACCTCTTCCTTGAACTTCAGCTCTGTGGCCATCAGCACAAACAACGACCGTCCTATGTGGCATTGGGCGGTAAGTGCGGAAGCTCTCTCGTTGCCCACAAACATGCACAGTGGCTCTAGTGTCCACGAACCATCCTTGAGCATAGATTGCTCGAGTAAGGGATGAGATCATGAAAATCTCTCCAAGGTTCACACTTGCCACCACAGTAACCTTCTCGACTGCGTGTGCAACCAGTCCTGATTTGCGATCTTTGCATTCTCTTGCATAGTGCCCAATATCTCCGCAGACGTGGCAAGGTCCGACCCTCTTTTGGCTTTGAGTTAGGATTCTGATGACTCGGTTTCTTGAAGCTTTATTTCTTAGGTCCGAAATTCTTCTTGTTCTGTCCCCCAGACTTGCCTTTGTGGCTAGAACCCCCAGCTGACACGTGATGCACACTTGATCCGACTTTACCACGCTTGTCCCTGATGCGAGTTTCCTCCTCAATGCGGAGGTGTTTCATTAGATCATCCAAGGAGTAGTCCTCAGATTTGTGCATCATTCTCTTAGAGAAATCTTTCCACGAGGGTGGCAGTTTTGCGATGATCGCACCAACCTGAAAGAGTTTTGGAATAGAGATGGAGAGTGCGTTCAACTTGTTGACCATGACTTGGAGTTCATGCACTTGCTCCATGATTGATTTGTCATCAGCCGTTTGAAACTCTAGGTACTTAAACACAAGGTACTTGTTAGTACCTTCCTTATGTGCCTTGTACTTAAGTTCCAACGCACTCCAGAGCTTTCTTGGATCTTTGACCGGCACGTAAAGATCATAGAGCCGATCAGACAGGGAGTTCTTGATGTGACCCACACACAGTTCCTCAGACTCTCTATGCAGAGTCCTTTGCTTTTCCAGTTCTGCGATGATCGTTGGGTCCACAGTTTTCCCCTGCTCGGGAATTGGATTACGGGAATTGGTGCCAGTTTTGGGTCCAACACAAAAAAGAGAACTTCAAAACATGAAGCATGAACTTGACCTTTTCGGCCCAACGGGTGTAGTTCTGCCCATCAAATTGGTTAATTTTGGCAAACTCTTGGTTCATGAAGTGGAGGCTAGCAGTAGAGTCCATTGGTCTGTCGATTTATCACAATAAAAACCTTTAAGATTGTTGTAGATCAAACTAATACACACGCAAGGAAACCGACAAATAATATTGAGAATTATATGTCGATTAGTTGCGAATAACAAATCCAATTATTATTATTATTATTATATTTACCAAGTTTCGTCCAAAACCATATCGATCCTTCACGATTAGATCTGATAATAAGAAATGAAGAAGAAGATTGTCCTGTTGTTGGACGAAATTAAATGCAAGACAGAAAAGTAAAACCGACCTGTTGATGGTTGATCTTGAACTTGAAACAACTGCACGGATCGAACTCCTGTCCTTAAAGGTTTTTACTTCGCTTCTACTGGCTGTAAGCAACAGAGTAAAACCCCAGGATTTAATGCAGATCTATCGATCTTCCAACAGCACTGGAAATCGACAAACACAAAGCGAATACTCGGAAACCAGAAGAAAAAACGCAGAATGTGGGAGAGAGCTTCGATTTTTCGTGAGTAATCAAAATACAGCTCCTAGGGGGCAGTATTTATAGGTATCGAAACCCTAAAAGGCATTAAACGGGCCCCCATAGGCCGGCCCCTAGAAACCCTAGGGCGATGACTTGCTCTCCAAGCAAGCCGTTTTCTGAGCCTTCCAGAATATTCCGTCACCTTATCCACGAAGTCAACTCTGGTCAACCGTTTGACCGGGTCGGTCAAACCGACTTGGCCCGAACTCGCCAAAAATGAAAGCTCCTCAGCTCCCAGCGACCGATGCGTCGTGCCAAGTGCACCTAAATCGCGCCATTTCGCGCACTCGCGGTGTCGGCTAGTGCTAGGCCAGGCTAGGCGCGTGCGTGGGCTTGACCCATTCCTTGATCTCTAAAGTCTTTGAAGGCCTATCAAGGGAATAATATTATAAACCCACAAAAGTTTCTTCCCCCCACCAATGTGGGATACAAAGGAAATTGCCAACTTGCATTCCATTATATATATAAAGTTCCAACAACAAACAATATTGATAAAACCATTATCAGGAGCAAGGAGCATTATTTGAAACAAGAGCATTTGAATCAATAATGCAACATATTATGTGGGGTTTAATATTGATAAAAATATTAGGAGCATTAACAAAAAGGATGAAAAAAATAAGGCATCACACTTGATCAATTCATTGTTGGTCTTAAAACAATAAACTCATTGATACACAATTTAACTGAAAACACTTAATTTAGAAACAAAAACGCAATTTGTGGAACATGCCGGGGGAAATGGTGGACGAATGCGATGGCAGGGGAAGAAGTTGGAGGCGACTACGACTGTTGGGCAAGTTGGAGGCGGCGATGGTAGTGGATCAAGATGGAGGCAACGACAAGAGATGGTGGTTGCGGGCGGCGATGGTTGAACATGAGAATTGTATCCAGATGGTAGGTGTGAGTCTGTGAGAAACGTGAAAAAAAGTTTTAGAATGGGAGGGGAGTAGAATGTAAAATGAATAAGCTGTAAAATTTATGTTTGATTTTTATTTATTTATTTATTTATTTATGTATGACCAAAATTTATTGTGTTCGAATATATCACCTATTTGGGCTCTATAAAAAGATTTTTATTTTTTTCATTTTCATACTTCGGAAGACACATATCACGTATTTGGGCTGCTCTACATGGAAATTGTTGCCATTTTAATTATTAATATTTTTTTTATAAATAAAGTAAGTGGACAAGTATATAGAACAAGGGTGGTCGATAATTAATTGGAGAAAATTCCGGCGACGATTCCATCGGGGAAACCGGAACAAATCAACAATGTATCTGCAGCTAAGCCAAGCTCCCACCGGAGCTACCACCGCTTTATCCACACAAACACTTCATCCCCCAAAGTTTACCCATCCCGTTCATCCCCTTTTCTCCAATCGCCGCCCTAAATTCTTATCTACCACCACTTCCACATCGTTCTCCAACCACAGAACTGTAATCGTCAATGCCGACATCACCAACAAATCGAAGCCCACCACTTCGTTCACTGATTCTGAAGACCAACCCATCTCCGTCGTTGGCCAAGAAAACGTTCCTCTCGAGGGCGTCATTCAATTTGAAAAACCCGATACCAGTGCCCGTTTCAGGAAATGGGGGTAATTCATTCTTCCCCATGTTTCTATATATGTAATCGAATTTCATTGTATTTTTACTAATTTTCTGTTGTTAAGTTCAGTCATGTGGCTTTGCTTTCTGGTGGAGATGTACTCGCCATCCTTTTGTTCTCCGCAATAGGAAGGCTTAGTCATGGTTTCCCTGTTTTCGATAGCGAAACTTTGCGAACTGCTGACCCTTTTATGGCTGGTATGGGCACTTTTTGTTCAAATTTTTAGTAAAACTGTAGCTATGAATATTATCTTCGTGAAATTTTGTGCTAAAGTGGATATAGACTTTTATCAGGGTGGTTTTTAAGCGCTTATTTTCTTGGGGGATATGGAGATGATGGCCGAGGGGTGAATGGTAAGAGCAATGCCATTACTGCTGCTGTCAAGTCTTGGGCTTTGGGTGTTCCTGTAAGTTATTTATATTAACTTTTCACTGATTTATATATATATATTTTTTGGTTAGGATATTATTCATTGTTGGTAGTTAAGCAACATATTTCTCTATTCGTTCCAGTAGTTAATTGTTTATTTGCTTGCATTAGACAAGCTTGCAAGCTTAGATCCTTGTTCTTGCTTGCGAATAAACCTTAGTCAAAGCACATGAGCAATATATTAGCATAGACATAAACTCAAAACCATATAATTGAATCATCAAGTTGTAAATGATATAATTCCTGGATCCATGTGTTCTTGATGCGAAATATACATGAAGTAACGTATTTTTAGAACATACAAGAACACTAATGCACACATTTAGATATTTCTAAGCAAATAATAAAACCATCTTTAATTTCTTTTTTTATGTATCACATGTTATAGCAGTTCAAGAAACAATTCAAAATTGTGGTGCTAGTGTCATTTGCTTCTAGCTTTACTTATGCTACTGCCTCAATCACGCATTCCACACAACAATGGATGCCTTACTATAATCATTATTGGTGTTATAAAATTTATAATAAACAACATAATATTTCATCTTAAACTTCAAAAATATAATCAATGTTATATTTACAAAATACTAGTATATAATACTATGTTTTTAAACATAAATATACTCTAGAATGTTAGAAGTATTTGAGTTCATAAAACTATAAAAGATAACCTCCAACCGTTTCCTATATTTCTTGATTTTTTCAACGAAACAACTCTATCCCATATTCCTATACTTCTAATTTATTCCAACAAACAATTAAATATGTAAGTGTCAGGGGTATTTTGGGTATTGTGTCCTCGGTTTCTGTTAGGAAAAGTTGCTATATGAGTAGCGGGATGGAATAAGGTTTGGCATGATGATTTTGGATACTTTTTGCTGAGATATTTGTCTCCTCGAAGAGTTAGCCTCTTGAAATGCTATTCCTTGTAAGCCTTAGGGCAAATTTGGTTGTTCTAGAGAAATCATTTGGAAATTGAATCCTCTTTCTTGTTCTTTTATTTTTTGTTCATTGAGTGGTTCCTAGCAAATTGGTATCAACATCAAATGGCTCATGAACAACGGTGGCTGTAATTGGAAGTTTCGAAAACTGGACATGCCTCTCTTCGATAGGGAGAATCCGGATGGCTAGATACTAAGGGCAAAACCGTAACGTCCCAAATTTCAAACACAAATTTTCATTTTTAATTAATAACAATCATTCCAATTTCATTAAAGGTAGATAAATAACAAGTTGTTCAGGTTGACAAACCACAATCAAAATCAGAGTAATAAAAGATAGTGAAATAAAAATGCGGAAGACTCCAAAATATATTTATGGATGCAACTACTCGAAGTCTTAAGGAATCAGCTACACGATCCGCCTAAACCAGTCATAGGCCAAACCTCAGTTTATAACTCAAAACCTCCAATTTGGTCAAAAATTCAACGGTCAACAGTCAAGTCAACGGTCCTCACGCTGTGACCAATCACTGTGTGTCACACCGTGACTATTATGGAGTACATAAAGAAATAGTAAGAATACATAGGTTGCCATTGTCAACAGCGACAGTGTCTAGCAAATTTATGAAGAAAATAGTAAGGTTACATGGGTTGCCATTGTCAATCATTAGTGACAACCAACAAGCATCCAATATTTTTGAGCTAGTTATTCACTTGAAGCGAAGCACCGCCTAGCATCCACGGTTAGATGGACAAATGGATGTGGTTAAACAGGCGTTTAGAAACCTACTTGGGATCTTTTTATTCAGAAAAGCCAATGACTTGGGGAGTTTTGTACATCACCATAGTGTTTTGAAAAAATATTTACTAATTCATTGTACTTTGAATTTTATTTACCAAAACAAGGTAAAAGTAATTTTGACATTTCTTTATTTAAAAAGGTGAACACAAAAGAGCCAACAACCCAAAATAATTAATGCAGGAGACAACCGTTAGCTCACACTTTTCGACTTTTCGTTATGCACTAGTTTTTTTTTTTTTTTTATCAGTTCCAAAATATATACATATATTTTACCTAGTGTTGTATATACAATACTATAAGAGATTCTGTACAACACTCATATAAAGTAAAAAAAATTGTACATAGCAGACATTGCACACTAGGGAGAGGAAGTAGCTGCTTAGGGGGGGAGCCAAGGATTCAACGATAATATGCTTTGAAGTTGACGGTGGTGGTGGCCATGAAAGGCAATGGCCGACTGCCGGAGGACGGTGGGTTCTTCATGAAGTGGACAATGCAACTGATGACTGATACATCTGGGTTAAGATTCTAGATGGAGTATTTTTCTTGAAATCATCGCAAAATTGATTTTCAATACGAAAACAACCATATCCCTCTACTGAAACAACATCAAAATTCGTTGAGTATAACTTTAAAATCACAATGCATATATAGTCAATTTATTTATAGATATAATATGATTGGTATTAGATAACTTATAGAAGCCAGAAACTTCAACATAAGAGACTAGAATATTAATATAATAGTCAATAGACATATACAGAAACCTGCAACTCGATCCATCAAAGTTATAAAATAGAATACATGTTATTAGAGTTAAACAAAAGCTTGCAAGTACCAGATAGAAAAAAAATAACCCGGAGAAAAACAAAGTGATGCTGAATTTAAACCGAGCGCTAACAAATACAAGCCGGGAAGAAGAATAGCTGACCGGCGATGGGAGGTACAAGTACAACAAAATCAACTCTTAATCCTTTCCTATACTTATTAGTTGGAATAGGAATAAAACCATCAACACTGACTCAGACCATTGCACAAACTTCTTTGTGATAATCACTCCTTATTTGATTCAGCGTAGGATTCTTTTCTCATGATTGATAGCAGAGCAGATCTATAACAAATTAAAGAACAAAAAAAAAGTGATCCAAAATCGGATCAGGATAAGATAAAATAAACAAATAATTATAAGTACATTGTTATATCTTTTGCATTCTTCCCTTTTTGGATATGGTGGCCTTTTGGTTTCTTATGAGTTTCGACTTGTGATTAAGTAGCACCCATCCATGAAATTTTCTTAGATGTGTTGTGTAATTATTGTAGCTATTCTTCTTTTCACTGGAATCTTCATCTGATTTAGTGGTAGTCTTTCAATTCTTGTATTGAAAACTAACGAGAAACATACTTTTTTTTTTTTTTTTTTTTTATCTATTTGTGTATTGCAAAATCCTACTTTCATTTTTTTTTATTACAGCATTCTACTTTCAATTTCTTTCTTATTAAGACATTGTACTATCCATTTATGACATTGTATATTCAATTTTCTTTTCTTATTAGGGCATATTATTATTTGAAAATTTTATCCAACAATGTTGTAAGATGAAAAAATGAAAGTAAGATAGATATAATAAACAAATCACTGAAAGTATATTGCTCTTCTTTTGAGAGGCAATAGTTTCTTTCTTCTATCAACTCCTCAAGTATAGCAATATTATAGTTTCTATTTAGTACATATATATAGTAATTATATAGCTGCTACTTTGTGTGTAATGTGTATTTATGTAGTTATATTGAACAGAAGAAGTTATTCACGAATGTTGTTTGGTATACATGAATCTACTACTAAGTACTAAGTTGAATTAAAGTATGTAAATAAAAAACAAAATTATCATATCATTTGACGTAATTAAATTTTTGTTCAAATTGGATTAATACTATACGTCGTATATGCTTCATAAGTCATAAAAGTTATAGTTTTTTTTTTTTTTCTCTAAAGTTGATATTTTTAATGGAAAATATGTAATTACAAGTTATTGTTTTTTCAGTTGGGAATATTAATAAGGGCCACAAGTATAGGGCACATCCCTCCAGCAAGATTCATTGCAGTTACATTGGGTAGTACTGCTGTGTTACTTATAGGGTGGAGAGCAGTAATATCAAGTATCTTAGCTGATGATAAGAGCAAGAAGAATGATGTCTACAAGCGTGGCAATCCATTTGAGCTATTTGAGGTACATTACTTGAGCTAAAGTTTTCATATTTCTGATAGCAACGTACTTCTACCTCCCTTGATTTGATTTTTATTGCATCCTACTTACATTTCTTCCTATTACAATACATTTGAAAATCTACCATCTTTTAGCAATGTCATTTAGATAATAAAAAAAAAAAACAATTTTTACTGTTATAATTGGATAGATTTTTCTAATGTCCTAATAAGGTAGAAAATTGAAAGTACAATGGGTATAGTAGGGTAGATTATACAGTACTAAATTGCAATGCATTATTAAGAAAAGAGTTGAAATTACCATGTTGTAATAGAAAAAGAAAAATGGAAGTAGGATGCTACAATACACAAATAAATAAAACTACATTGTAATTTCATGCATGGCATTTTGTCATATTGTAACAAGAAGAAATGAAAATATTATTTGGTCTTATATTAGTTGTGAACGCTAGTTATTTTCTTGCAGTTGCTGACGTCATTGGTACGAAGATGGTGATACATGTAGTTATCCTATTCAAATTCACATTGTAATTATTGGAAAATCTAAGGCAACAGTTTTACAAAAATACTTTTCACAAGTAATTTGTTTTCGTTCCTTTTCCTTGCCTTAAAACTACAATTAATTCTTACAATGGAAGTCGATGAGAGGTCCATTTAATGAGTATAGATATTGTGTGTTAGTTGCCCTACAAAAAGGGTCTGGCAAAAGTGGGTTTTTCTGTTTGTATGAGATCCGTAAATTGTATGTATTCTACTTAGACAGTGTGATGGGCCAGCTAGGGTTTTGCAAAAAAAAAAAAAAAAAAGAACTGAAACTGTAAAAATAGGCAGTTTGAAATTGAAAATCATATTAATTTGAAAAACCGGAGATTTGGTTTTTCTGGCCTAGCAGGAATGAGCGACTCTCTCAATTGAGAGGTCATGCAAGTCTTGTTAGAGACATAAGTGTTAATTTAAGAGCATAATAGTTTGTTGTTTTTTTTATAAAAAAATTATATATATATATATATATATATATATATATATATATATATATATATATATATATATATGAAAAAAACATCATAAATGGTCTCTGTGGTTTCTCAAAATCTGAAGTATAGTACCCGTGGTTTAGAAACGTCATAGATGGTCCCTGTGCTTTCAAAACTTTTGACGATTGGTTCTTATTGCTAACTCCGTTAAGTTTTATCCGTTAATTGAAGGATATTTTCGTCATTTCACACCACAGGGATCATTTATGATCTTTTCAGTTATTTTTTTTAAAAAAGAAAAAATTAAATATAATTATTTATTATATAATCTCTCTCTCTCTCTCTCTCTCTCTCTCTCTCTCTCTCTCTCCATGTCAAATAAATAGGTACATAGTGAAGAAACGAAGATCCGAAATACCCACTAAATCGAACAGGTTGTTGAACATGAACAGCTTCTGGAAAACCTCATGGCCTCAAAACTCCTCCATGATTGATTGACTGAACTACACCATTCTCTCTAAAAAAAACAAGTATTCTTCTCTCTCACTCTGTATGTGTGTCTCGTACACCACATACACAAAGAAATCAAATTCCTTTTTCTCTTTTCTTCTCAAAATTGCACAAAGTCTCCCCATTTTTTCTTCAATCATCGGTCAGAAATTAGAAACAAGGGTAAAAAGGAGGTTGCACTCTCCCCTCTCTCTCACACAGGTAACATTTTTATTGATTTTCTGGTTTGGGTTAAAAAAATGAACAGGGATTATGTTTTATGGTTTGATGAGGATCTTACAATGGAGAAAGAAGGGTGGTGTTACGGTTGTCTTCTGGCGGTTCAAAATCATCATGGAAATTAGAAAAGATACAAATCCCTGGAAAATCGCGTTAAGGAAAGTCATCACCACCCCTTCGATTGAAAGTCATCACCCAAATATGAGGGAAATTAACAGTTATAGTCAGCATTACTCCTCAAATTAGGGTTAGGAAACCAACGAGGTCAAGGGTGAAAGAGGTTCGATTAGAACTTAGAGGAAAGAAAAGCGGATGAATACGACATTCACCGTATTGGATTCCATGATAGAAGGGATAGAAATCAACCGATCAGAGGCGTCTGCTGAGTTGTTACCGTTGGATTCTACAATGTGGTAATGAATCCCTTCCTTGTGAATAATTTATTGAAACAATTCAAGTGTACGCTTATGTCAGATGGAGTTATTCATCTTATGTCAGATGGAGTTATTCATTAATGGGGATTGAGGTGAAGATACTAAAACAAAGACAATGTTAGAGAATGGTGGTGCAGGTAAGGAAGAAGAAGAAGAATAAGAAGAAGAAGGGGTGGGGAAGTGGGTTTTTTTTGCACACACACACACACACAAAGAGAGAGAGAGAGAGAGAGAGAGAGAGAGAGAGACCTTTTATATTTAATTATATTTAATTTTTTCTTTTTTTAAAAAAATACGAAAAAACATCATAAATGGTCCCTATGGTGTGAAATGACGAAAATGTCATTCTAGTTAACGGACAAAACTTAACGGAGTTAGCAATAAGGACCAATCGTCAAAAGTTTTGAAAGCACATGGACCATTTATGATGTTTTTTCTATATATATATATATATATATATATATATATATATATATATATATATATATATATATATTATCTACTTTAATACTTTTTTTTAACTATAATAAATAACCAAAAAATAAATAAAGACGTTATTCTAATATCAAACACCATTTCAGATACTTTCAAATTTTCTTGCAAAAAAAACTTTCTCAAACACTCTCCAATTCTCTTAAGAACAAAGACTCAACACCGCATCTTCCATCTACCTCCGCCACCTGCCGCCTACTGCCACCGTCATCTACCGTCTTTCGTCGTCGGAATGTCGAGCAGTCAAGGTTTTTCACTTCATATCTACCTTCGAACTCCATTGATTACAGATCTGAAGTCAAAAACTCCATCGTCGAACGCCACCACCTATGAACGACACCACCGCTGTCAACAACCACAACCGCTGCTGCCTCGTAACTCCAATGAAACACAACAAGCTCGTCTCTATCTCTTTTGATTTCCGGTGATAAACCACTAGTTCGTCGGATCTATTCAGATCATATGGACAGAATTTCACCGAAAGCCTTCTGTTCCGTCGCCACCTCCGGTTGCCGCCTCCGGTGGTCTGTTAGCAAATTTATCCTTCCGACGACTTTAACTGTGCATTTTTCTCAGATCTGGTTAGATCTAAGTGATTCTGGTGGGTTTTTTGTGTCTTCGATGTTTCTGGTCCAGGTCTGTCCAGATCTAGTCTGATCTAAGTGAATACAAGTTTCTTCAACTATAATCTCTTCTCTCCGACTTTGTGTTTGTGGTTTCAAGCCAGTCAGTGTTTCTTTGTGAGATAGGCAAGATTTATTTGTTTTTTGTTCCAAATATGAAAAATATTTTGTTGATGAAATCCGGTGAGGACAACTCACGAAGACTTCTTGATTCTTGCAGAGATCGAGTAGCATGAAGAAGAATACTTGAGATTTGTCTATTTTGGCTTGGTTAGCCATGAGTAGATGCCTTAGTTTATTCTAAAAGCTGCAAATATAAGAGAAATAAATTACACCGTGCTTCATCTTTAGAGGTCATGTACAACAGTACAAGTACTTTCTTACCTACACACCTACACATCAATTACTTTGAGTATTATTTATTATATTGGAACTAGTGGATCTGAATATATATAAAATATAAATATATCATATCTACTTATGTCTTAGACATACACGTACGTGTAAGGTAATTTTGAATGCATATATAATGAAGTTAGTATAGTATCTTCCCTACTTTTTTCAGTTTAATACGAAAATGGTTGTTAAAAAATTATATATAATAAATTTTAATTCTTAAAATATATTTAATAGAAAATATAACATGTGGCAGTCTAAGGATTAATAGAAAATGGGTGTTCATTGCAAACTCTACCTTTTTAGCTTATTTTCATAGTATTTACGCTTCTTAATTTTTTTAGAACAACATTAACACTCTTAATGACAATAGCTATTATTATAGTAATTATAAATAAATTTTCTTTTTAGAATGACACATTTATTGCAGATATCGGGGTACCTCCTCGATTATGTGAGAATGTTCTTTAATTTTGTTGTAATTGTGACCAAGGTTGTAAAAATCGCTTGACGTTAGCTAGTCGGTGGACTGGGGTTAAGGGATTAATCGTCTAGGCGGAGATTAATCGGGGGATTAATCGGAGACCATTATTTGCTAATTTTTTTGAATTTTTAAACATTAAATATGACTAATATCATATAAAAGTTCACAAATACCACTAATATTATAACAAAATAGGTTAATATGATTAATAAAAAAACTAATAATACCTTAAATAGTTTATATTGAGATATAACTTCTTCAAAGTGTTAAAATTTTATCGGGTTCTACTGTTTCACTCACTGTGTATGCAGGGATTAATTGCTAGGCGCCCTCTAATCGGTCAGGTAGTGCCTAGGGATTAATCGGGACCTAGTCGGGATTTTTACAACACTGATTGTGACTTATAGATTAGCATTATATTTTTTAGATTGGTGGATATGTTCGAAAGTTGTAACTAGTAGTAGTGTGGATATTTTTAATGAAATACTATTATAATTAGACAATGAGACAAAGTTATTGAATTAATATATATGAAAACAATAAACGAATCATATTAAGTTGTGAATGGACTAAATATTAAGATGTGAATCAACTATATATTTTGTCTTATACATGATTTATCATTTTTTAAAGAAATCGATAATTTAGAAAAGAAAAAATTTAATTTGTCAAGGTTTAATTCTATTTTTTATTAAATTTTGTATATTTGGTTGTAGAAATGAAATAGTATCTGTTAAAAAATATTATAAAAAAATGAGAACTATAATATTTATTCAATTAAGCTGTGAATACGACCATAAAAATGTCATTAATTTGGTGTTGGTCTAGCGGTGGTCTGATGGCTGTCCATTGGTGGTCCGACGACGGTTTGAAGACAATCCTACAAAAAGTGACAACTAGTTATACATTAGGGAACGACTGTTGTATTAATTCCATATTAAAATATTTAGTAAAAATTTGGTACATAAAATGTTTAATAAAATGACTTATTGGATTAGTATAAGTCTTTAAACTATGAATGACTGCCGTATTAAGCTGTGAATGAGTGTCTGGAATATTATATTAAGTTGTGAATTTATTGTATAAGTTATGAAATGTGATGTCCTTTTTTTTCTTCTACTTGACTTATTCACTCCAAAGCCCACACACAAGATCTGATGGGCTTAATATTGGACATCTCTAATTCATTATGGGATGCTGAAAAATCATAAATGGACAGTTGGATTAAAAATCATAAATGGACAGTTGGATTAAAAACTTTGGGCTGTCAGAAAATATAACTTTTAAGTTGATTTTCTAAAAAAAAAAAGTGTATTTATTTATTTATTTATTTAACTGTGAATTGTGATGTTTTAATGCTTTAGTTATTGTTTAATTCTATTAAAGTTAGTTTTAATTGTTAGAGTAAATTACACGAATGGTCCCTATGGTTTGGGGTAATTTGCGCGCTTGGTCCCTAACTTATTTTTTTTAACTCGGAAAGTCCATATTGTTTGTTTTTGTTACGCTCTTGGTCCCTACTGATTGTTTTTGTTACGCGTTTGGTCCCTGTCTTACCTAAAAAGACTATTATTTAAATAGAAAAAAATGGTGGGGTAGGTAA